TAGAGTTGTAGTGAATGGAGGTAAATTCAGGTTGTTGCTGGTCACCAGTGGTGTTCCCCAGGCGTGGGAACTGGGTCCAGTTCTTTTTCCTGTCTTTATCAAGGATCTGGACTAGGGGATTGATTGCACCCTCAGTAAGTTGGGAGAGGACACCAAGGCGGGTGGGTGTGTTGGTCTGCTTGAGGGTAGGATGGATGAATGGATCATGGGCAATGGTCTGAGGATCAGAAAGGCTCAGTGCTGGGTTCTGCACTTGGGTCACAACAACCCCAGGAACAGTAGAGGCTTGGGGAAGAGTAGCCTCACAGCTGCCCAGGGATGCGACTGAGTCACTTAGTCCCAGTCTCTGGAGGAATGGAGAAAGGAATAGTCTTGACCCTGAGGGACTCAGTGTAGTGGTGCACTTCTTAGTGTCAGATGAACAGTTGGAGTGGTTCTTAAGTGTTGTCCCAACTCCAGGATTCTGGGAGATTATGAAGGCCATGGAGGTAGTGGAGGTGGTTGAGTGCAGGGCCACCAAGATTGTGAAGAGAAGGAAGCATCCTTCGTCTGAGGAGACGTTGAGAGAGCTGGGAGGTTTTTCAGCCAGAAGGCAAAGTTGCGTGGGGGAGATGTCATCAATATCTCTGAATCCTGGTTGGGAGGTGTCGTGGTTCGTACCCCTCTGGCAACTAGGTGCAGGCAGCTGGTCGCTCAGTCCCACCACGATGGGATGAGAAATAGATTCCGCGGATAAAGTGAGAACATTTGTGGGTTGAGATAATAAAGACAGAGTAATAACGAAAGAAAGAGCTGTGCACACAAGCAAAGGAAACCAAGGAACTCCTTCACTATTTCCAATCGTGCGGCAGGTGTTCAGCCATCTCCGGGAAGCAGGGCTTCTTCACATTTTGTGTTTCCTTGGGAAGACCAAGATCATGAACACAAACATCCTCCCCTTCTTTCTTTTCACCCAGCTTTCTATCTGGAGCATGAGGTCATATGGCATGGACTATCCCTTTGTTCCGTTGGGATCATCTTTCCCAGCAGTGTCACCTTCCACCATTTAGTGCCTTCCCAGCCTCCTTGCCGGAGGAGCAGGAAAGGTCTTGAGGGCTTACCAACAACCAGAAGCATTGCTGGGCTCTCAAGGGCATTGTCATCCCAAATCCAAAACCCAGCACTCTACCAGCTGCGAGTAAGAAAGTCAACTGCATCCCAGCTGAAACCATGTCTGGAGGGAATGAGGAGAGGGGAGTCAGTCTTCTCATGGGAGCCCAAGGCCAGGGCAATGGGAGATGGAGAAAGCCAAAAAGAGGTGCAGTTTCCTTGGAAGAGAAGGCAACCCTTTCTCATTGTGAGTGTGCGCATAGATGGAACAGGTTGTTGAGGTGTTGGAGACCCCATCCTTGGAGATACTGTAAATATGACTGGACATGGTTATGGAGAAACCGCTGTTCTGAGCGCCTCTATGAGAAGAAAGAAATTCAAGACATCTAAGGTTTGGATGCAGGAGAACTTTATTGAGAGAACAGAGTGTAAAGGTAGGAATGCCAAGAGGAAGGGAGCTGGTCTGAGTTGCAGGTAGAGTGAGCATGAGCTCCAGAAAAGCCGGGAGGTGCATTGTCAATCCGTGCCGTGGATTCCATGGTGCGAGTGGTTGGTGTCAGGGGTTGTGGGCGATGTCCTTAGCAGATGTTGCAGCCTCTTCCGCCATAGCATCCCCCCAGGCCTCCCAAGCCGTAGCCGAAGCCGTAGCCAAAGCCACCGGAGGAGACGGGCACTCCCTGGGCGCTGAGTTCGTTGCCCACGGCAGCCGATGCGGAGGATCCGACGAAGGTGCTCTGGGGGTGGGAGGTGAGGATGGGTCCTGGCAGGGTGACCACCACGGTGGAAGGCTGGATGACGACGCGGGAGGCCTCACACTGCCTGACACAGGGCTCGTTGCAGCTGTTGGCCAGCGGGGTGGGTCCGCAGGGGCGGCAGAGGTCGTAGCAGGCCATGTGTGTGGTGTGGAGGGTCCCTGGAAGAGAGGGTGTTGAGGAAGGGGAGGGGGCGGCGGGTGGTGGAGGAGAGGGGCGTTGTGGGTGAGGAGAAGGAGGGTGAGGGGGTTGAGGCTCACCTTGTTGAGGGTGGAGGAGAAGGCGTGAGGAGAAGTGTGTGAGGGAGAGAGGCGCTGGGCCGGCTTTTATGCTGGTCCGCGAGGGGCGGGACAGGCTTTGCGCATGTCCACGTTTGGCAGCAATCAGCTCTTTCATACCACAGCCTGGTGAGTAATGAGGTGGGGTGTGTCTTTCTTCCAACAATTCTCCACTTTCTTGTCATCCTTGTAAGGACGCGTCCACTTGGGCTTGTCGGCAGCTTTCAAGGGACTGTAGGTCTTTTAGAGAATTTGCATGGATGCTGTGTCAGGGCATTTGACAGATGCAGCCAAATCCTAGGAGAGGTGGGGTGTCACCAGTGCAGTCATCCCATGGTACTGGTGTGGTGTGGTTTGTGGGTGCACTGTGCAGAGGGGGCCTCATTTTGTCCAAGCCCTGGCAGGCTGCTCTGGGCTTTGATGGTGTGGCGGGCATGAGGTGCTGCCCCTTCCATCATATTCCCTCCCTCCTTGTCATGATTACACCTCGTTAACCCTCTCTTTAGACCTGGCTTTTCCAGTTGTGTTTGTTCTGTTGGTGTCTCAGTGCCCCTCTCTCTCATAAGGTTGTAACTGGGAGAAATTTTTCTCAGGCTGAGCTTGGTGCTGGGGAACGTTGTGGAGCAGATCATCTTGAGTGCCATCACACGGCATATACAGGACAACTAGGTGGTCATTCTCCAACAGCATTCATATGGAGAAACTGCCTTCAAGTTGGTCTGATGCGTGTACTTTTCACTTCCTAAAAAACCCTCTGGATGGCCATGCCCATGGAGTTGTGGTGAATGGAGAATAAATCCAGGGTGTGGCCGGCCACGAGTGGTGTTTGCCGGTGGTGAGTTGTGAGGCGAGTTCTGTTTAACATCTTTATCATTGATGTGGACGTGGGGAGAGAGTGTGCCCTCAGGAAGTTTGCAGAGGACACCAAATTTGGTGGGTTTGTTGACCTGTGTGAGGGTAGGATGGCTCTGCAGAGGGATCAGGACAGGCTGGATCGAAGGGCCGATGCCAGTGGTGTGAGGTTCAAGGTGTCTCAGTACCAGCTCCTCGACTTGGATTTACAGGAACCCGCTGTAACTCTCCAGTCTTGGGCAAGAGGGTGTGGAAAGCTGCCCCGTGGACAAGGGTCTGGGGAATTGTTTGACTGCCAGCTGACTATGAGCCAGCGGTGGGCCCAGGTAGCCAAGGAGGCCAGTTGGGTCGTGGCTCGTATGAGGAGGAGTGAGTCGAGCAGGAGTAGGGAAGGGGTGGTCCCCCTGTAGTGGGCAGTGGTGAGGCCCCACCTGGAATTGTGTGTTCAGTTTTGGGCCCCTGGCTACAAGAATGCCATTGAGGTGCTGGAGAGTGTCCAGAGAAGGGCACGGAAGCTGGTGAGGGGTGTGGAGCACAAATCTTCTGAGGAGCGGCGGAGGGAACTGGGTGAAGCTGGATGCTCAGGGAAAGCAAACCAAGGAGTTCCTTGAGCTCTTCCCAATGGCAGGCAGGAGTTCGGCCATCTCCAGGAATGCAGGGTTCCGTCCCACATGATGGTTTATTTTGAAGACAACGTCATAACACCAAACATTACCCTTTCTTTCTTTCCTTCACTTTTATATGCCGAGCATGATGTCATATGGCATGGACTATCCCTTTGATCAGTTGGGTCAGGTGCCCCAGGCATGTTTTCTACAAACTTTTTGTGCCTTCCCAGCCTCCTTGCTGGTGGGGTGGTGTGAGGATCAGAAAAGAGCTTGAGTGCTTGGCAAAACCAGAACTATTGTTGGGCTGTCAAGGGTATTATCATCCCAAATCCAAAACACAGCACCCTACCAGCTACAACTAAGAACGTCAGCTGCATCCCAGCTGACACCATGGCTGGAGGGAATGAGGAGAGGGGAGTCAGAGTCTTCTCATGGGTGCCCAAGGCACGGGAAGGGGGAATGGAGAAAGCTGAAAAGGCGTGCAGTTTCCTTGGAAGAGAAGGCAACCCTTTTTCATCGTGAGGTTGCTCATAGTGTGGAACAGGTTGTGGAGAGAGGTGTTGGAGACTCCGTCCTTGGAGATCCTGAAATCCTGACTGGATGTGATTATGGCGAGACTGCTGTTCTGAGCCTCTGCTTTGAGAAAAAAGCCACTGAAAGAATCTAAGGTTTGGATGCAGGAGAACTTTATTGAGAGAACAGAGTGTAAAGGCAGGACTGCCAAGTGGAAGGGAGCCGGTCTGAGTTGGAGGTAGGGTGAGCAAGAGCCCTCCTGTGAGATAGATGTTGCCGGAGTGTTGAAGTTTTCTAGCCCCGCATTGGGAGGTGACCACTCGTGGTCCCTTGTGGGCTTTGCCTTGTCAGGAAGTGGTTGCAGTGGAGAGCAGTGAATGTAGGTGAAGGGTGGCTGGAAAGAAGGAGGTGGGAGAAGAGGAGGAGGTCCATGGTCCGTGTTTCCAGACAGCGTGGGCAGGCCGGCCCCTTCGGTGCTTCCTTGCTTGGTGCCTTGAGAGGAAGAGCCCTGGAGAAGAAACCCATGTGCCAGAAAAGGCGGGAGGTGCATTGTCAATCCGTGCCGTGGATTCCATGGTGCGAGTGGTTGGTGTCAGAGGTTGTGGCCGATGTCCTTAGCAGATGTTGCAGCCTCTTCCGCCATAGCATCCACCCAGGCCTCCCAAGCCGTAGCCGAAGCCGTAGCCAAAGCCACCGGAGGAGACGGGCACTCCCTGGGCGCTGAGTTCGTTGCCCACGGCAGCCGATGCGGAGGATCCGACGAAGGTGCTCTGGGGGTGGGAGGTGAGGATGGGTCCTGGCAGGGTGACCACCACGGCGGGAGGCTGGATGACGACGCGGGAGGCCTCACACTGCCTGACACAGGGCTCGTTGCAGCTGTTGGCCAGCGGGGTGGGTCCGCAGGGGCGGCAGAGGTCGTAGCAGGCCATGTGTGTGGTGTGGAGGGTCCCTGGAAGAGAGGGTGTTGAGGAAGGGGAGGGGGGGGCGGGTGTTGGAGGAGAGGGGCGTTGTGGGTGAGGAGAAGGAGGGTGAGGGGGTTGAGGCTCACCTTGTTGAGGGTGGAGGAGAAGGCGTGAGGAGAAGTGTGTGAGGGAGAGAGGCGCTGGGCCGGCTTTTATGCTGGTCCGCGAGGGGCGGGACAGGCTTTGCGCATGTCCACGTTTGGCAGCAATGAGTCCTTCTGTGCCACAACCATTCAAGTAATGAGGTGGGGTGTGTTTTCATTACCACAATGCTTCTTTTTCAGCTTCTCCTCATGTCCATTTCACCTTGGTGGCAGCTTTCCACTGTGATTAGGTATTTTGAAAGATTTGCATAGATGCCTTTCAGGGCATTCGCCAGACGTGGCCTTAGCAGAGGAGATGTGGGCTGTCATCACTGACTCCCCACATCTATCCTGAGGAACTCATGTATTGTGGTTTATGGGTGCTTTGTCAGTAGTGGACCCCGTTGCATCATAGCCCTGGAATACTGGACTGGGCTTTGGAGGTGTTCTCGGCGTGAGGCGTTGTACTTGTTCGTAGCAACGAGGCTGCAGAGATGGGTTCTATGAGAAGATGCCAGATGTTCCCCCATGTCCAACAGAGCCAGTGCCAGCCAGCTCCAAGATGGACACCCCCTTGGCTAAATGTGATATGATCAGTGACAGTGGTAGCACTTCTGTGATAATATATTTAAGAAGGGTGGAAAAAACTGGTACGCAACAGGAGCTGGAAGAGAGTAGTAAGAATACGTGAGGGAAATAACTCTACATCCAAAGAGCCAGTGCCAGCCAGCTCCAAGATGGACACCCCCTTGGCTAAATGTGATATGATCAGTGACAGTGGTAGCACTTCTGTGATAATATATTTAAGAAGGGTGGAAAAAACTGGTACGCAACAGGAGCTGGAAGAGAGTAGTAAGAATACGTGAGGGAAATAACTCTACATCCAACAAGGTCGGTGAAGAAGGAGGGGGAGGAGGTGCTCAATGCACTGGAGCTGAGATTCCCCTGCATCCCGTGGTGAAGACCATGATGAAGCAGGCTGTACATTTGCAGCCCATGGAGGTCCACAGCAGAACAGATACTTCCCTGCAGCTCATGGAGGTCCCCTTCCTGGAGCAGGTGGATGCCCAAAGGAGGCTCTGACCCCATGGAGAGGATCCCATGCGGGACTAAGTCTTTTGGAAGGTCCTGTGCCTTCCAGGGCACCCACACTGGAGAAGTCTGTTCCTGAAGGACTGCATCCCATTGGAAGGACCTATGCTGGAACAGGTTGTGAAGAAGTGCAGCATATGGGAACGGTCCACGTTGGAGAAGTTTGTGGAGAACTGTCTCCCACGGGTGGGACCCCACAGAAAAACAGGAGAGGAGTGTGAGGTATAAGGAGGGGTAGAAAAAACAAGCGATGAACTGATCACAACTCCCATTCCTCGTCCCCCTCTGCTGCGCTGTGGGAGGTGGTATAGAATGTGGGAGTGAAGTCGAGTCCAGAAGAAGGGGCTGTTTAGGGGAAGGTGTTTGAAGACCATAGTTTTTATTTCTCATTATCCTACTGTGGTGTTTTATTGGTCATAAATTAAATTAATTTCCCCGAGTCAATGCTGTTTTGCCTGTGACAGTAATTGGTGAGCGATCTCTCTGTCCTTGACTCAGGATTTCGTTGAATTTTTCTCCTCCTGATGAGCTAAGGAAAGGAAGCGATAGAGCATTTTGGTGGCTACCTGGCATCCAGGCAAAGGAAACCCACCACAAAGCCCCATCTTTACAGCAAAGCAGGATCACATGTTTGTTTGGCACCTGGTCCTCGGTGCCCCATACTGTACCTCAGGGACCACACAGTGAGGATGGTGGTGACCTCACAGAGGGATCTTTCTGTGTGACCTCAGAGCAAAGGGATGGTGGCTAGGGGTCCCTTGCACAGGTGGTGTGGGGACCTTGCAGCAAGGAGGATGTTGGTCTGGAGGTCCCTTGAGTGACTCAGTGTGGACACTGCAATGAAAAGGGGATGGTGACCTAGGGAACCCTCGCAAGGGATCAGCTGGGGAACCAAAAGAAAGGTAAGGTGGTGGCATGGGGACCCGGATGTAGGTGAAATGGGCACCATGCAGCAAGGACCCCAAGTTGGTTCAGCTGAAGACTCTGCAGCAAGGGGAGTGGTGGCCTGGGCACCACACATTGGTTGCCCAAGGTCCTGACAGCAACGGGGAAGGGGACACAGGACCACATATGGGGTGACTCTGGTGCATGGGTCACATCTTCTGCATTCCCTGACACTCGCCATTGACATCAAGCCTTCGGCCTCTAAGACTAGGACTTAAAAGCTGCTGCCACGGACAAGTGGACACTACCTTAAAAGGACAATGTGAAAAGGGAGCGTTGTGGGAAGGAAGACAGCCTTGACCTCATTACTCACCAGGCTGTGGTATGAAAGAGCTGATTGCTGCCAAACGTGGACATGCGCAAAGCCTGTCCCGCCCCTCGCGGACCAGCATAAAAGCCGGCCCAGCGCCTCTCTCCCTCACACACTTCTCCTCACGCCTTCTCCTCCACCCTCAACAAGGTGAGCCTCAACCCCCTCACCCTCCTTCTCCTCACCCACAACGCCCCTCTCCTCCAACACCCGCCGCCCCCTCCCCTTCCTCAACACCCTCTCTTCCAGGGACCCTCCACACCACACACATGGCCTGCTACGACCTCTGCCGCCCCTGCGGACCCACCCCGCTGGCCAACAGCTGCAACGAGCCCTGTGTCAGGCAGTGTGAGGCCTCCCGCGTCCTCATCCAGCCTTCCCCCGTGGTGGTCACCCTGCCAGGACCCATCCTCACCTCCCACCCCCAGAGCACCTTCGTCGGATCCTCCGCATCGGCTGCCGTGGGCAACGAACTCAGCGCCCAGGGAGTGCCCGTCTCCTCCGGTGGCTTTGGCTACGGCTTCGGCTACGGCTTGGGAGGCCTGGGTGGATGCTATGGCGGAAGAGGCTGCAACATCTGCTAAGGACATCGCCCACAACCCCTGACACCAACCACTCGCACCATGGAATCCACGGCACGGATTGACAATGCACCTCCCGCCTTTTCTGGCTCATGGG